CAGCCTTGATGAGCATAAGAGACTTCTTTCAAAAACATTTAAAAAATCTTTCTAACCCCACACTTTTGAACTTTTAGTGTGCACTAATAATATCATGACTATTTGTGCAGATGGAACTGTCGTTCTGAACACCTGCCCCGCAAAGCCTTTGATGCTAGGGGGCGCACAGGGTCACTAGATGAGCTGGAAGAGTTTGCTATGTCATACAGCCCACACGATCATCGGAAAGGTGACTTTCGTGGACCTCAGCGAGACTTTGAAATGGGTCCAAGGTCACGGGACCACCCCACGTCATACCGAGATGGGCCACGGTATTCTCGTGATGATGATGATGACGACTGGTGTCGTCGAGGCTCACCACCTTCCCCACCAAAAAGGCGCAACACTGCCGACAGTGAGCGTTACCTCGCTCGTCAGAGGTCTTATGATGATACCTACCTGAACACTCTGCTGGAGCGCAAGGTTAGGGGCCACGGAGAGCGAGGTGGGAGGGCTGATGATAACAGTGACACACCCTCAAAAGGCAGTTCCAAGAAGAGCAGTGACTGTTACAATAGCAGGTCACCTAGCAACCGCCCCGAGGAGGATGATCCTTTACCTCCGTACTCTGAGAGGGAGGCGGAGAGGTTTAGAACTGAAGAGTATAAAGAGAGGGAACGGTACAGGACTACTGTTCCTGCCATGCGGCCTTTTTCATACACACGTCCGGCCCATATGTTACATGAGCGCAGGGAGGACAGGGACAATCCCAGGAAACTGGTGAGTTACTTATAATCGTCTGCCCTGGTTTCTGTACATTGAAGGGTGGATCAAACTTCCTTCAAGCCTTAAAAGAAGAGACGATTGAGATTCCATTAATATGAAAAATACAGTCTCAAATGGTAAAGAGCAAAATCCTTGAAATCTTGTCAAAAAACATCTCAGCTCACCAACTACAGTATGTATGATTCATTCATGTTTACATTGTCTGAAATTTCGAAGAATCATTAGTTTCAGAAATAATGCTCTTCTCTGACCTGTGCCTTTTGGGTTATGTAAGGTCAGATCCAGATAGCAACATCTCTCAATCCCAATTCCTGCAATAAAGGGCAAAAATTATTTTTAAAATTAAAACTTGTTCTTACAGTTTCAAAATTTAGGGAGCTACTAGACTGAATGGTAAAATTATGATGTTTATTTTGAAGCTACCTTTTTTTATATATATGTTTTATATGTTAGATTGAATTTCCTTTTTCCTCAGTACACATTTTTTTTTTAAATAAATTAATATATTTATTGAGCAAGTATGCATTAAACTGATGTAAAGTAACAGTAAAGACATTTATAATGTTACAAAAGATTTATATTTCAAATAAATGCTGTTTTCTCTAATTATCAAAGAAAAAAATCCAGATTTTTTTTTAATTTTCATAAATATTAAGCAGCACAACTGTGTTAACACTGAAGACTGGAGTAATGGCTCCTGAAAATTCATCCTTGCCCTCACTGGAATAAATTGCATTTTAAAATATATAATATATAACAATTATTTTAAATTGTAATAGCATTTCACAATATTACTGTTTTTACAGTCTTTTTGATCAAATAAATGCAGCCTTGGTGAGCATAAGATCATACTGACCCCAAACTTTTGAACAGCAGTGTACAGTACTATGTCATTTGTTTTCCAAAGAGGGACTCTAAATCATTTTAACTGTACAGTATGTTATTTTTTGTATGCTGAAATGTAAATCCTATTCTTTACAAGAATGTATGTAAATGAAAGTCCGCTTTGAATGATCAAAACGTTGATTTCTCAGGCAGGTTTTGTGAGTTTTTGTTCTGTTAGCCTGAATGTATCATAAATGACATCACTGCAATACACTGACACACTAACAACGCATCTGCAAACGCATCATGCTAATGGGTGTCTAATGTGTGGCTCTTGGTGTTTTTTAACAGACCACTCATCTAAGCAGAGACTCTCTAATTGTGTGACGTCATCAAACTGAGCTGCCATCATACTAATAACATCACCATCCAGCTGAAGAGAAATGCCCCAGACACTAAGCATCAATCTGTCAGAAAGACACATTTTATGCACGAAAATCTGACATGAAGAGCTTGGGAACTTTTGCTGGTCAAGGGCAAGAACGTATTGTGTGTCTGTTTTTATTTTATATATTGATTTGTGTCTATATGTCAAAA